ACAGCGGTACCCTCGACCGTCCATCTGAAGATGAAGTTCTACACCAGAAGGGCACGGGTAGCCACCATCCAAGGGAACCTAGCCGCTGCCCGTAGGTGCTTCAACGCTGCTTCTAAGGGACGGGATACCGTCGACATAGGGACCAGACCCGCTAAAAGGACAAAACAGGAGCCCGATAGGAAAGCATCCCCCGAGGAAGAAGTCCAGAAGGCCCCGCCAAAGGTCGACTCCATAGCCCTCGACGCCCGCTTCGATCAGGACGAGCCATTCAACAGCGAGCAAATCCCACTCTGACCAATTCCGGACGGGGATTTTGAACTCGTTCCCCTCGGCACAGACCCGACCAAGGGAGTGAAGATTGGCAAAGACCTCCCCGACTTAGCCAGGAAGTAGATTAAGGCCTGTCTGCGCGAGAATGCTGATCTCTTCGCCTGGAGCGCTGCGGAGATGCCCGGACTCGACCCTGAGGTCGCCTGTCACCACCTCGCCATTGATCCAGCCGCCAAGGCCGTAGTACAACGTAGGCGTAGGCAGTCTCCAGAAAAAGCGGAGGCTGCTGAAAAAGCTGTAAAAGACCTCCTAGAGGCAAATTTTATTTCTGAAGCCCGGTACTCCACCTGGCTGTCAAATGTTGTACTTGTAAAAAAGAATAATGGAAAATGGAGAATGTGCGTTGATTATACTGATCTCAACCGGGCTTGCCCGAAAGATGCTTTCCCCTTGCCTAACATAGATATGCTGGTCGACAACTCGGTCGGCTACAAAACTTTGTCGTTCATGGACGCCTATTCGGGATACAACCAAATCCCAATGGCCCTGGGCGACAAACACTGCACGGCATTCATGACCAGCTCGGGCAACTATTACTACAATGTAATGCCCTTCGGACTGAAAAATGCCGGAGCAACCTATCAACGCATGATGAACAGAGTTTTCAACAAACAGATCGGCGACATGCTCGAGGTATATATGGACGACATGATCGTCAAATCCAGAGCAGACACCGATCATGCAGCTCATCTCAAGACAGTCTTCGCCCAAGCAAGACAGTGCAAAATGAGGTTCAACCCCGAGAAATGCACGTTCGGGGTTAAGGCAGGAAAATTCCTTGGATTCTATCTAACAGAACGAGGGATTGAAGCCAACCCCGACAAATGCCGGGCATTCTCCGACCTCCCAACACCGACGTCGAAGAAGTCGATACAAATCATGAACGGTATGCTTACGTCGCTGTCCCGCTTCGTCGCGAAGTCCGCTCAGCACGCCCTCCCATTCTTCAAACTCCTTCGAAAGGAAGCAGCCTTCGAATGGAATGAGGAATGAGAGCAGGCACTTCGCCATCTGAAGCAGAGCCTGTCTCAGCCGCCCGTGCTATCTCGACCCGACAACGGGGAACCGCTGTACTTATACTTGGCCGTTTCAAACGAAGCCATCAGCGCAGCTCTTGTCCGCGAGACCCCCGACGGGCAGAAACCCGTCTATTTCACGAGCAAAGCCTTACAGGGACCCGAAAGAAGATACCAGCAGATAGAAAAGGTTGCTCTGGCCCTCGTCAACGCTGCGAGGAGGCTCAGACACTACTTTCTAGCCCACACCATCATCGTGCGAACCGATCAGCCGGTGAGGCAACTCCTGGGTCGGCCAGATATGGCGGGCAGGATGCTGAGGTGGTCCTTGGAACTCTCCGAATTCGACATTCAGTACGAAAGCAGGAAAGCCCTGAAAGCACAGGCCTTGGCCGACTTTGTCGCGGAAATGACCACTCACGACTTTCCCCCGGGGAAGGAACACAAGTGGACCATCTTCGTCGACGGAGCGTCCAGCTCGTCCGGAAGCGGCGCAGGAATCCTCCTGGAAAACGAAGAAGGCGTAGTAATCGAGCACTCCTTAGCTCTCTCCTTCCCGACGTCAAACAACCAGGCAGAATACGAAGCTCTGCTCGCGGGACTGAGACTGACCGAGGACCTGGGAGCCCGCGAGGTACAGATCTACACCGACTCCCAGCTCGTCGCTTCTCAAGTACAGGGGAGCTACCAGGCCAAAAACGACAACCTCATCGAGTATTTGAACTTAGTCAAAAAACACATGACAAAGTTCGTACAGGCAGAAATTTCACATGTTCCCCGCGAGCAAAACACGAGGGCGGACATATTGTCCAAACTTGCGAGCACACGAAAGAAGGGCGGGAACAAATCCGTCATCCAGGAATCTATGGCACGTCCGAGTATCGAACCACCCTCGACTACAGTCGAGATCCATGCCATCGGGGATGCCACGTCCTGGATGACCCCGGTTTATAATTTCCTGACAAAAGGAGAACTCCCGTCGAACCAGGCCGAAGCTGCCATTATCAAGCAACGAGCATGTTCCTACGTGGTTCTCGAGCAGAAACTGTACCAAAGAGGATTCTCCATCCCCCTCCTGAAATGCATCGACGAGTCCACCATCCCCGATGTACTGCGGGAGATACACGAAGGGATCAACGCCCAGCACATGGGCGGTAAATCCTTAGCACGGAAAGCCCTTCGAGCAGGATACTACTGGCCGATGATGCAACAGGATGCCAAGGAACACGTAAAAAAATGTGATAAGTGCCAGAAGCACGAGGATATGCACCTCGCCCCTCCGCACGAGCTGAGCATATTGTCGTCCCCATGGTCGTTCGCCTGGTGGGGCATGGACATCCTCGGGCCCTTCGTGCAAGGAACCTACCAGAACAAATTTCTCATCGTCGCCGTGGATTACTTCACAAAGTGGATCGAGGCCGAGGCCCTCGCAAAAATCACCTCGCACAATATCCTCCGTTTCTATAAAAGAAACATCCTCGCCAGATTCGGAATTCCACGGGCCCTGGTGACCGACAACGGTACCCAGTTCACCGACCACGGGTTCCAGGACTTCGTCACCAAACTAGGGACAAAACAACATTTCACGTCAGTCGAACACCCTCAGACCAACGGGCAAGCCGAAGCCGCGAACAAAGTCATCCTCCGAGGGCTCAAACATCGACTCGGCGAAGCCAAGAGAGGATGGGTCGAGGAGCTCCACAGCGTCTTGTGGGCATACCGCACCACACCCCACTCAACGACGGGTGAGACACCATTTCGACTGACATATGGCACCGAGGCTGTCATCCCGGTCGAAATCATGGAACCATCCCGACGAACAGAGAACCCCCTCGACGAAGAAATGAACGACGAGGCACTAAGGGACGAACTCGACCTAGTCGAGGAAATCCGGTCGGGTGCAGCCCTGCGCGAAGCCACCCTAAAACAACGAGTGGCTCTACGCCACAACGACAAGGTCATCAAGCGCGAGTTCGAAATCGGCAGCCTGGTATTACGTAGGAACCAGAAGGATTCCCGCGAAGGGAAACTGGCCGCGAACTGGGAAGGACCTTATCACGTCCACGGCACCACTGGTACCGGGGCGTACTACCTCGAGCAATTAGACGGAGAGCCATTACCACGACCCTGGAACGCTGCTAAGCTAAAGCAGTACTACAGTTAAAAACTACCAACACCTGGGACCCTCGACCAACGGCACCCGCGCTCGGTCAACGAGGAAAAACGTCCGACTTCGTATAAAGGCTAAGGTACAAGCCCGACATACGACCAAATCGCACAACATCGCTCGGCAAACAAGGACAATCGATAGTGCCCGACGTGGACAGCTACACCGAGCACCACCGTCGTTGTACCCGTAAGGCAGAACACCCAGCTCACGATGGGCAGTTCACGCCAAGGGCGAATAGTCCCTATCGGGCTCCGTGCCCGACTGAGCAACTTCGCTCCACATGCCCGACAAATCGTCAAGAATGACGGGCCATCTAAAAGGGTCAAAGGGAAGTCTCTCCCCTCGAGCGCAACACTTAGGTGACTCTGGCCAGCGAAAGAGGGTCGGGCACGTATACAAACGGAAGGCGGGCAGACTCGCTCGCTAAATCACAGCCACTTACGGGCACACCTCGGGCCCATGACTTAGGCTAAAATTTTATGCAAATATATAAGATTTCAAGCACGGGCAAAACATTCAAATGAAAAACACCATTCATTCAAATAAAAATGCCCAAAGGCGACAAAGCAAACAATTATAAACCGACCAAGAAGGCCGACGATGTTCATAACGTACAACCAACGGGCACGCAGGCCCAAAAAATACAAATATCAAAGGCACGCAGGCCCGCTATCATACAGTCAGGCTTCCCCAGAACCATCATTGTCGACACTTGGAGAGTCGGGCGGGGGCACGATCACGCCATCCACGATCTGATGTGTGTGGCATGTACCCTCAGTAACCAGACCAGGGTTTAACAAGGAAAGTTGACCGACTGCGGAGTCGAACCCCTCCTCCAGAGCACCGACGCAATCTGCCTCGAGCAGCCGGATATGGGCGACCAGCTCCGATCGACTCTTCAAAGCCGCTATGTCTTCCGGCTCGTCCTCGGCAGGTAGCATGACAACGTTCATTTCCTCGATCTGTTGGGCCAAGCGCCCGACTTCGGTCTCCAGACGATCCCTGTCCGCACGGAGAAGCTCCCCCTCCTCGGCCAGCTTCCCCGACCTTTCTTTCTCCAGGACCATCATCTCCCTCTCAGCATCCAGCATCACTGTCTGCTCGCGGAACATCTCCTCGGAGCGTTCCAGGGTAGTCTTCAACTTCCGCGAGCTCGAGGTGAGAGCCGCTTTCTCCTGCTCAAGTTCTTCGATACGGACAGGATCCCCCCTTCCTCGGACAACACCAGGGCCATCTCGGCCATTTTCACTAGCCCGTCCATGCTGGCGGCCAAATGCCTCTTCCGATCCTCCTTGCTCATCCTTTTGATAGCCTCAGCCTCGTCGGCAACCACTGACAGAGGGAATCTCTCGAAGAAACCCTCCTCTTTGAAACAAGGGGGGAACCCGAAAGACCTGACAGCGCTGGCCTCCTCACTGACAGTCGGACCACTTTCCACCCGGGTCCTCTTCCTTTGTATCAGGATGGCATTAGGATCGACCTCTTCAACCTCTGGGGTCCCGTCCGACGCGGCCCCCGAGCTGGGCGACGAATCCACCCTCACCGGCTGAGGAGCACTCGGACTGTGTGGCGGGCCCATCCTCGTCGCCTGGGGAGCCTTCACGACCCTCCTGCCTCGCTTCTGGTCGCAAGACAACTTCAAAAGCCTTTCCCGTCGACCGGCCATCGAACCTGCACAAAATAAAAGACGGGTTAGTATCGAGCAAGTTCATAAATAAATGACGAGCAAAGAAATTCAAGCGATAAACAACCTAGCAGACGAGAAGCCTGCCTGTACGTCTGACACTCCACGAGTGCCTTAGTATCAATCGGCCGGGACTCAAATGTCGGATAACCCTCTGCATCCAAGACATCGTCCCCTTCCCTCGTGGCCCACCGGGCAGGGTGGAAGCTGTCGACGAACCGACAAAGTGTGGCGTACGCCTCCTCGTCCTCCGAGTACATGTTCCCGGCAACAGTATGGTAGTATCCAGTCACGTGTTCGTAGTGCCTGAACATCTAGTGCACAGGGAACTTGGCCGTACGGGCCATCACGGGATTCCCATCATCGCCCAAAACCGCCTCCCCGTCATCATCGCTTATGGGCGCCTCCTCCTCGTACAAGGATCCCAAAGCAGAGGTGGTAACTGCCCGCACAACGTACCACTTGTCTTTAAAACCCCTTACGGAGTCCATATACATTTTGAAGAGTCTCCTCGACTGCTTTAAGGAGACCCAGCTGTGTTTCCCTCCTTGGGACTGGCGCTACAGATGAAAAATCCTGAAGAAGAGCGGTATGGTCGCCCCGATCCTCAGAAAGCGACACGTCAGCTCAAACGCCCGGATAAAGGCGAGTGAGTTCGGATGTAGCTGAGACGGGGCCAACTCCAGATGGGTGAAGACCCCGATCTGAAAGTCACTAAAGGGCAGCTGCAGCCCAAGATCTTTAAACGCGATCTCGTACATCGGGAAGTTGTACTCTGGGTACACCGAGCAGATCCGTGCACGGGAGGTCGTGCGCATGACAACGAAATTCTTCTGGAAGTCAGGATGGCCCTGGCCCGCTTCGAGGACAGCATACGGATTTCGGTCACGCCGGCTATATATCGACGCGATCCCTCGGGGCTCGGCGCCCACCCAATCCAGCAAAGGGTCATCGACAATATCAATCAAGCTGACCGACTCATCGGCACTTTGTTCTTCATGTTCGTGGCGCCCAGAGGAGCACGGCTCGTCCGCCATGGTTACCTGCAGAGCACGGGAAACCAGTCAATTGGGCACGAAGCCATACGCTCGACAAACCACGTCGTCCCATGCACGACCACAAAAGTCAGTTTACACGAGTAGTCGCCTCCCCGACATCTAGAAAACTCGATGTGTTCTTCTCCAAACCGACTACGCGGCCACTCTCCAACATGTCGACCCAAGGTATGAACATGGCGAGCAACATCATGAGACCTACGGCCAGGACCATGAACATACCGGGCGCGATCAAGAATCAGGCGCCCTGGATCATGAAGACCCCGGGCAGCGCTGCTGATTATCACCTAAAACTATGAATATACCGGCCACAAGCATGCGTTTTCCGATCCTAAGCATGAATATGTCGAGCTAAGTATGAGTTTACCGGGCTAGTCCCATGCGCACAGTCCCTAAAACATCTACAAACGCTGAAAATCATGCATTACAACAGGAAAATGAAGAAGATAAACCACTTACTTGAATCAAAAAGTAGGATTCGGCTACGGAGTAAAAGAATCTGTAACAGAAGATCGCGGCTGGGAAAAATCTGGAAGAACAGCAGCAGAGGGAGCACAAAGAGTAGAAACGTGTTATGAGGCCCAAGGTTCCTATTTATAGTGATGACGTGGAATACCAAACGTCACCTCGGGCAACCACAGAGTTTCTCTCCCCGACGCGCTGCTCCCAACGCAATGATGACCCTATCACCATAGGGTGGCGGCACAGTTCCCGAAAGATACCTCGTGTGCTCGACAGACACGCGCCGGTGAGGATCCTTCGGGAATCCACCGCGGAAGATGTCCCCGAGCACGGCACGGAGAGGCCCTCGAGGGTCTGCATCTCTGTCCCGGGTGCGAGGCCCCGATGCGGAAACGACCTGAGTTCAAGCCATGGCTCCTCACAAAGGAACCACGACTTGGGGGGCTCCTGTTCTGGACTGGGCCCGACAGGCCCAAAAGCATTGCTAAGGCCCAATCCAAATGGACTTACTGAGGACCACGCCGACCAAAGGGTCACCGTCGTGCCCGACGTGCTCTCACGTGCTCGACAGCTACACCTCCAGCTCGACATACTGTTGTCCAGCTCCACATCCTGCTATCCAGCTCGACATTACCTCGAGCACCCCAACTAGGGCAGACTCAGTCCACTGCTCTCCCAACGAGACCCCGGAAAGACCGCGTCTCCGTCCGCCCGCACTTCACGCAGAACATCCAGGAAGGGGACCACATGCGGGTCCCCACTACGCACGTAGAACCTGGCAGTTCCTCCGTTGAGCCAAACCTGCCCGGCCCAATGAAGGAACCTTGGCCCAGCGCTGGGGGCTATAAATACCCTCTGTTTCCAGAGGGTCGGGTATTCATCATTCTAACCATACACTTGCTATTACCTGCTCGTACTTCTACTTACTTCAGCATCGGAGTGCCTTGCAGGTACCCCCCCCCCCCACTTCGTTCAAAAAGCTTTCTGCTCGGAGCCAGCCGTGACGGTCCATTTCTGATCAGGTCAGATCAAAACTATAAGTCTTTTTGGGGAACCTATCGTTGGTCCTTTCTGGACCAGTGGGATTTTTTCCACTTGAGGGGACTAACAGTTTGCAAGAGTATGGTGGCCCTTGTTTTAGTTCTGCTAAATCGACCTCGCCTTCTTCGACGGTTATAGTTTCGTCGAAGGTTTCTGGGTCTTCGTCATCCATCTCGACATACGCTATCCTCTCTCTTTTATGAGTTTTCGTTGCCTTGGCTTTCTCAGCTTTAAGGCGTTCTACCTGTCGAACTCTATCGGCCAATTGGGCCATGTCTCTCAGGTATTGAGTGTCTAACTTCTTCCTAATGGAATAATCTAAGCCGCCTGCGGCTATTTCGACTAACTCATGTTCTGGCACTTGTGTAAAGCATCTTGCTTTGAGCAACCTAAACCTATTTAGATATTCGTCTATAGGTTCAGTGAAACGTCTCTTTACATTGGCCAATTCTTTCAGGCTTATCTTGGTTTGTCCCATGTAGAATTGCTCATGGAACAATCTCTCTAACTGGATCCAATGATGGATCGAATTGGGGGGGAGAGTTGTAAACCAAGTAAATGCGTTCTTTGTCAAAGAACTTGGGAAGTACTTAATTCTCAGGTTTTCGTTGTTTGAAATATCTCCTGCTTCGATTAAGTATCTCGCCACATGTTCGACAGTAGATTCTGTCGTGTCCCCAGAGAATTTAGTGAACTTAGGGACTTTACATCTAGGAGGTAAGTCTGTTTCTAACACGTATTCTGACAGTGGGGATGTGAAATTGGGCCTACGAAAGCCCATGTTCATCCCATTTTGTGTCATGATTCTTTCGATCATGGCTGCCAGATTATTTTCCAAACCCATATTTTGGTATTGGATATGCTGAACCACTTCGTCAGCATTTTGGTTTATGTTAACTAACCTTACCTCTGGGGCTATAACCCTAGGTTCTTCGACAGGCTGCTCTAATCGTGCCCTAAGGTTTTCTTCGACAGGCTGCTGGACTTGGTTGATAGTGGTTTCTTCCTCTAAGAGTATACCTTGGTTTCCCCTTATTTGCGCCCTTTGGGGCTGTCGAATAGGTTGGGGTACTCCAAAGAAATCAGCCAAACGCGTCATTTGCGCTGTCATCTGCTGATTCGATTGGGTGGTGTTTTGTATTAGAGGATTCAGCACTGTACTTAAAGTTTGTGCCAACATTTGAACCATATCATGGTTGCTTTCATCCATTTGTTGCCTCAAGACTACTGTCGAGGCATTTGTAAGGCCATGTGCTACTTGGGACGTTCCTCCTAAGAGTTGGGTCCTATTTCTGTTCTCCATACCTACTCCAGAACCTTGGAGTGGCGAAGAGGCACTCACTAAAGGGTCTGAAAAAGTGGACGCAGCGTTCGTTAGGCTAGCCAATTCAGACGTTGGCATGCCATAGAGTGGTTCTCGATTTTGACCGCCTGTCATAAATCCTGGGGGAACATAAGGCCTTGTGTATAGATTTCCCCTTGGTGGGGGAGTTCCTAAAGGCACTCTGGGGCCTGTGAACGGAGGTAATGGCCCCGTCGTTGTGACCGTTACTGCTGGTGTTGAACCAACAGTTATCGCTTCACTTACGGTTGGGATAACCGTTGTTCCCACATTCGTTTGTGGGATTTCGTTATTGTTTGGCGGATTCGCCATCGCTTCTCTTCTTCTGGCAGTATTGGTATTGTTAGTGTATATTCTACCACTTCTCAATAACATGCAATACTTCTCGAAAAAGATGATATTCTGTGTAAAAAGGTTAAACTTCAAAATCAACACAAGGTCCCACCAGGTGTGCCAATTTGTTTACCGTGGGAATTGGTAAACAACCGCTGATCTTCCAAAAGGTTACTTATTTGGTGACTCGCAGGATCGATCAGATTGATCCTAAGACATGGTTGATTTTGGGGTTTTGACTAAGTTTGATAATGGTTAAATGACAAGAAAATAAAGAAGCTTTATGTAAATTGCATGAAGAAGAAAACTTGATAGAATAAAGAAAGGCTTAAAATGAAGGCTTCGACAGGAAAAGTAAAGGAGAAAGCAAGTAAAGTTTCTGGAAAATAAATGACTTTGATTAATTAAAGTGGTGTTTCACACATACATTCTCAACAATTCTTTCTCTCACGCTGGGTACTCGAATCTATATGAGTAACTTGTATATAATTGTGAACACACGCGAAAAACTGCGTGAACTACTAATATTTATACTAAACACATCCCAAGTAACCGTCGGGCAGTTACACTGCTTCGAGATGACTCCACTTGGCACGTTCACAGCGTTCGACGCTCCAGATCTTGGCACGTTGCACTTGGTAACCGCTGGGAACCGTTTTCCCTCCAAACGTTTGAATCTCAAACCGTTCCACTCTGAACAATCGAACACCTTCGTCGAGAAGCACCTTCGACGAGAAACACCTTCGACGTCGAA